ATGAGAAAAGTAAATATATTACAGAGCATATCACTATTGGATTACTTTTTTAAAAAAATGTAAAGAAAATAAACTAATAGGAAAAATCACTTAAAGGAAAAAGAACAAAAAAAGATATCCATATAAGTAGCATGTGATCATGATTCTCAAAAATGGGTAACTGATTTCAAATTAGACATATCTTTTCATTTTTTTTTAATGTTGGAGAATGGATGGAAATTAATTAGAATTTTACAAATTTATAATTGATTAATTATAAGGGAGGGTTGAGTTGGGTGGTAAAGAGGGAGGAATTATAATAGTAGGTCCTCCGTTTAAGACCTCCTACTTGCCAAACAAAATTTAAAAAGTATATAATCAAGCCAAATAAAAAAATAAAAAATGTGATTGGAGATAAATAAAAAAAAACTATAAGTTGATTAATAAAAAGATTTGATAAGGGGAAGAGATGGTTTAGGGGAAAAGAGTATAAATGAGAGATCCCGCATTTAAGCTCTCCCACTTACACGATTATGGTACGTGCTTAAGTACACAAATCATCCCAGTGGCTGCTCCTATTAATCATCGTGTAGATGCATTCTTTTTTAATTAAATTAATAAATTCACTCATCACGAACGAACATTCCTTTTCCGTCTTTGGAGAGGTGTGATAACGGTAAGAAATTAGATTACTAGTCACGCCAAACTCCATGTCAAGGATCCTCAGGATATTTTATGCCGAAAATATCCAAACTTCATCCCCCAGCTTTCTCTATCAGAAGTTTGTGAGTTTGGGAAGCTAAGTTGTGTCCTTAACGAACTCTTTTACAAGTGCGTAAATTTGGGACAACAAACAAACACGATGATTGGTTTGCCAAAGGTACGTTACTCGTACTCTTTTACCTTATCCCACAAATTAAGAATGGAAACTTGATCACTCAATCATCTTTTCTGTCAAGTAATAACCGAAGATGCCTTGAGACATCACGTTCAAGGTATGGGTATTTGGCAAAAAGGGCAAAAGGGAATTTTGCAGAGGTCCACCAAGAGTGGCTAAGCGGTTAATAATTAAGTTCCATGCAATTTGAATCCTCATTCCCTGGCTCAAGGAAAGACGCCACTAAACTCGAGCATGTTTTGCCCCACCCAAACCCAAAAAAAAAAAATTTTTTTTCTTGAAGAATGCAATCGCCTTGTCCGCTACACTCTGGGAGAAGGAGATTGGAACAAACCGTATGTTAGGGTGGTTTTTTAAGTTGATTGATGATAATAGTTGATTTGATGGCTACTTTTAAGGTTTATGGCTAAGATTGAGGTTTTAGGATTTGGACCTCTTTCGTCGAAGGTCTCCTTTTCCCCCTCCTTGCTTTTTAAATCCCTTCTTCCTCTTGCTAGGGAAAAAAAAAAAAAAAAACTCAATTTGTTGCTAATACTTGTTGACTTGAATAACATATAATTATTTGATTTTTGTGAGTTAATAATCTTGATTTGTACACCTATAATCAAAGGCAATTTAAGTGAATAAATTAAAGAAAGACGACGTTATATCAAACGAAAATATACCAAGGGTTAATTCCATTTTACACGCTTAAATATATTTCAATTCTCACTTTGGTGTCTAAATTATAAATTGAGACACTCTTTAGTCCCTAAACTATAAAAGCAGTCCCAATTAAGGACAATTGTTGGTGAAATCCCGAAAACTAATAGAGTGCTAGTCAAATGAGTAGCAAACCAAACAAACAAAAAAAAGATTAAACAATATCCCAAAAAATCAGAGGGAAGAAAGGAGTTTAAGAATGAAATTGAGAACTGCAGTATAGTTTAGGAAATAAAATGTCCCAATTTAGAGTTTAGGGATCAAAATGAATATCCACATATAGTTGAAGGGTGAAAAATAAAATTAACCATATATTCATTGTAACCAAAATTAAACTTATAAAATAAAGGCATGTGTGCAGCCCATTCAAAAAATTTATGAAACAAAAAAAAGGCCGCCTATGTAACTCTTACATGTATACGTGGAAATGGTGTAAGTATGTTTGGATAGTGTATTATTTGAAATAATTACTATAATACTTTTTGTAATTTGATATATATGATATAAAAAAGTAATTGAAAATATTTAAAAAAATGGACTAGAAAACGTATTTATAATGTAAATGAAGAGAAAGTTTTGGAAATTTTTCTTTCTTTTTCTTTTTCTCGGGATTTTAAACTTTCCAGAGTGGTTACCGAAAAAGAAGAAGAAGAAGAAATTGCATACAGAAACCCACCTTTATTTAATTATTCCTATCATCCCATGGTTCAGAGAAAACCAGGTTGGGTGACGTATTTGGGCCGCAAGAGTTAGAGTAGTGGGCCTCTTCAGAATGGGGGGAAAAAAAGTAGTGGGTTTCTTCACAAAACAAAACAGAAGCCGAACCAAAAAAGTAAAAGGGTAGTGGGCTTGGGTTCTAGACTTACTGCTACATCAAAGAAATTAAAAAAAAAAGTTTAAAAATCAGCGACAGGTCGAAATCTGAAGCCCCCACCCTGTCCCACCGCCGACTTGATATTAAGTACTCTAATTTGCAGAAATCCCTAATTTACTGCTACAGCTGGAGTGCAGGATGAAGAAAAATACTGGAGCTGGAGGCGCAAGCGACGATGGAGTTGGGGTTGGGGGTAATAAGAGCGACCAACAAAGATTGAAAGGCCAATCTTCGAAGGAGAGGAATATGCAGAGATTGGGCGGGAGAGGGCTGTCTCTCCAAGCATTCGCCAGGACTAACCACTATAATCCCGCTCTCATCAGTATGTTCGTCTGCTTTCACCTATTTCGCTTTTTTGCTTAGGGATTTGCTCAAATCCAATTCGTGTAATTCTCTGGCTCCTCCTTTTTTAAAAAAAATTTTTAAAAAAAAGAAGAGAGAGAGTAAAATTGGCTCTAATTTTGATTCACAGGCTACATGGATTATTGTTACTGGCTGTTACGTAGTTGAATAGGAACGTACATTCAGATAGCACCTCGTCACTTCTCATCGTTGAAGGAATGGATTGTCTAGGACTTATCAATGGTCACGCCGCCTTAAGTTGCACCTCCTAATAGCATGAGTTGATTTATTGCTCTTAGATATACTGCATTGGATCTTAGTGAAGTAGGCTTATTTTCATTTTAACATATTAGCCAATTACGGTGCCTTTCTTATTGTTCAAGTTCAATGCCTGGATCAAAATACACCAGAGTCATGCCTTCTGATAGCGCAATCATTCTTATGATTACCGACTTGTATCTGCTAATCTGAACTCGAATCTTGTTCAGATCGTCGTTCTTATTTGACTGGTTGGGCGGTGTGTGATGGGTCATGGTTGGAGAGTTATCAAAACCTAGTAAAATTTGGTTAATAGATGTTACAAAAGGCGATATAAGCTGTTGTTGTTGCATATTGGTATCAACAGCGAATGGTTTTAGCCTTGTATGCACATGTCAAAACTGCAAACTAGATACCCATTTTTAGGTAAAACCCTGATCTAATTAAAATCTCACGGAAATACTTAATCTGTACCTTAGTGAATATGAACAGAGCCAATATGTTTTGGCGATGCTGTGGATGTCCTTTATTACTGGCCACGTTCTCTAAGACTGGCCATCACCTAGATTATTAACTTACACAATCGCTATGTAATCCTAATCTTTCTCGTCAATGGTGAAATTTGATGTGGGATGTGGTTAGGGTATGGATTGCCTTTTGGATTTTGTTTCCCTTATTGTGTTTCAATGCAAGTTTCATTTGGTAGGATTTCCTCTATAGTGATAAGCTTGTGTTGCTTATGTTTTCCAGAGAAGCAAAGGGAGTTCTATAAGAATGCTAAATATGTTCGTAAGTTTAAGAGATCGCTAGGGCAGCATGAACAGCAGATGACTGCTAGGCATTTGGAGGTTTGAATTCCATTACTACTTGGTTTTGCTTAGCTACATTGCCTGCTTTTTCTTCTTGATTGCTGTTACGGTAATGTCTAATCCAAAGATGGTTAAGCCTGAAACTGGCCAGTTGTTGCTTCTCATACATGATCGCTTTGCACATATCATACCTGAATGGCTATCATAATAAGTCATACTGAAAGTTAGATTTGTTCATGTTTTGTAGGTAGCCATTTGCCATCTAGGTTCATATTATAGTTCCAACTGTTAATGCAGGAAAGAAATGAGACTGAGGAAGCTACTGACTTGGACCACAATATTAAGAAAAGGAAAAAGAACAGTGCTAAGAGTCTCAGAGATTTGTATGAAGAGAAGCGTCAAGAGGCAGAGAAAGCCAGACTAGAGAGGGAAGCCTCTATCCAGGCAAAGAAGAAAGAAAGGCAGAGGGCTGAAGCCAGAAGAAAATCTTTGAAGAAGAAGATGTTCAAGAAAACAAAGTCAGGCCAACCTGTGATGAAGCATAGAATTGAACATCTTTTACAAATGATCCAAGGTTCAACGAGTTAGGTTTTGTAGCTGTTCCCTGCAGAAATGTCCGGACACAAATGACCTCAGCTAAGAAAACGAAGTCCAAGGTTTTCATTTTTCTGAATGCTGTATTGTGTTGATCATATGGGAGCATGCTTATCTTAGTACCTGGTTAGGGTCTACCCACTTATGGAATATAGATTGGGATTTATAAGCGAAACAATGCTGCATCTGATTCATTGTAATTTTATTTATGTGTAGACATTCCAATAGTTGAATATCTCGTACATGCTGTCTGAATTGAGGCTTTTGACCTAGTCTTTTGTCTTATAATCTGGTTTTCATGATATCTTGAAGCTTTACTGAACGAAAATGTCCAGTGCTGTTGTACATGTTAAGGAGTCGAGAATTGATACTGGAAGCCCTTTGCTAAGAGATCCCGAATTAGGTTAAAATCTAACGCCAAGTTGGAGAGTTCATCACTCTAGCTGGTGGATTTCGTCATGCATTTGTATCAGTAAGAACGGGAGGAGAAAGGAAAGGAGCAAATGATACATTTGCCCCCAAAAAAAAAAATTTTTTTTTTTTTTTTGGAATGGCGAATTTGAGATTAAGGGTTTCTCACCTAAACTCATAAATCAAGATTCCCGTTCAAATTTTACAAATCATCCAACAATGTAAGTTGATTAACCTGTGATATTAGCCTGAACAATTTGGACAGTAATTCTTCTCTACCCTAGAAAGTATTGAGTGGTTATGTCATATCAGTATCACCGCTCATTTAGCGCCAATTAATGAGAGTTAGGTGTCATTCGTCCAACACTACTGTTTATCAAGTGATTGCTAATACCGCACGCATGGTGCACGTGTGCACTTACTTATCTTATGTTGTCAGAGGCTAAACCCTGGCTCGTTTTTTTTCCCCCCTTATTTTTCATTAATTTCCTAGGAAAGCATTGGTCTAACGCTACATCCCACTCAAATTGGCTCTGCCTGACAGACAACCTTACAGAAGAAAAGTCATCTGTGTGGTCGAATCAAATCCTGCAAAACCACCCTGCTCTTTTTTTTTTTTATGACCTTTCCTTTCCTCAGTAAATCTAATCCTCTAGCGATCTCTCTCTCTCTCTCTCTCTGCTTATGATTCTCCCCGGTATTGTTGCTGCCCCTCATCCAATTTCTGAGGGTAAAAGTTGATTCTTACTCCGCACAGGTCCAATTGCCCCAATCCAAATAAAGTGATGAACCGAGTAATAGTTCTACTTTTGCATCAAAATGAGAGAGCCCATGTTCGTATACGACCCTAGAAAGAATTGATTTGCATGAAATGGACGAATCAGTTGGGAAAATTGAACCTGTTGCCCGCAGAGCAAAGCTTATTATCCACAGGACAATAGAATAGTTAACTGATGAGATGCCGGATTGATAGATAAGCATGCAGCCAAAATTTTCATCCAAAACCAAAAACGAAAAACAGAACCTCCACTAGACGACACGGTGCTAAAGGGTAGATTTGCAGATGCATATGATCGTACAACAATCTTTGCCACCTACAATACGACAACTACATTAATCATAACACTGGAAAAGATATGCCAAAGTACCACCTGTAAGACGCAAGGGAGAAGGCGGGGAAAAATGACTGAACAGAGGCAGAACCCACCCCACCTGTAAGACGGAAGGAAAAAATTTATTAAGGGACTTTATTAGAAAAATAAAATAAAACAAAATCTCCCTCCTTGAAACTTGAAAGGGAGGAGGCTATGAAGCGGTCTTCCCTCCTTGAAAAGGAAGCCTTAAAAAGAAGAGAGAATTGAAGAAGAGAGAGGTCAAGAGGAAAAGAAATACTGTAGTCTCTACAATGATTGAATGGCTCTTACATTTTTATTAACAGGTCATTAATGATAGGCTGGATAGACTGCCACGAGTCTCCGACGAGCTGGTGGTTGTGCGGCGCATATTAACATGAGCACTAGAGCAATTGCAAACGCCAGGAGAAGGCCCATCAGATCAACTCCATCGCCTCCTCCACTAAGCTCCGTACATACTATTTTCCCCATTCAGCCTGAAGAATGATATAGTATATTACCACACAAACTGCACTATAGCAGCGTCTCTGTCTTTCCTGCTGGCTGCTTTGTGCCTCTGAATTTGAATTGTATAGAGTAGAGATAGAGAGAAGTGTACTATAGCAGTGGTTCGGTGGACGCGAAAAATGTTTTTCGTAACAAAGAGGTGATCAGCTACCGGTCCTCCCGGGCTTAAATAGGCGTCTCTCGCATTCTAATTTTCGTGTACCTCGCTTGAGGCCTGCCTTAATATCACTTAACACCCCGTAGTTTTAAAAATCTCTCTTACTTTTCTTGTCAAATTAACAATACAAGATGTCTTTATCATGGGTGATAAATTGACTAAAACCCCTAATTGATTAACTAAAATTTGCAAAAAGTTTAAAAAAAATTAGGACCAACAATTAGCAAAACTATCATTTATAATGAGAACTTTTTTTTCCCCTGAAATTAGCAAAAAGTAGAGAATTTCTAACACTACTATTCGTAACAAATGAGAAGTACATCAAATGGATATTAGAAGTAAATGTAGCCTACTTGAATTTCTTTCACTTTTTGAATTCCTAATTGTCGCCTTTCTATTATAATCATAATATCAATTCTTATATTAAGTGATGTTGATGAATTATAAGAGTACGTTCCAATGTTAGAATTTGTTATCATTTGTTACAATATATTCTATTAATTTCCTGTTTGAGTTGATCATATCGTTGCTAAACTTGTGTTTCTTATTTTGGTGTCTTATTGTCTTTATAATTCGAGTTGGAATACTAGTCATCATTACGCAATTATAAAACTACTCATTCGCCGGAACTTCTCTTTATTGCACTTGCATCTCTCCTAATTTATATTTTGCATATTAAGTTTATTTTGGTCTTAATTGCTGCTCTAATATTTATATAAAGGACAACAAAAAGGTACAAACCAAAGTAAATTGTCATCTCTCCTCTTTTATGAAATTTTTAACGCACAAGGGGTGACAATATTACAACAGATGGCAATCAAGGGGAGGTAACAAAAATTTTTGAAATTATGAAGATGCTAAGTGATCATCCCATAGGGGAGGTTTGTAAAATCATCCCATTCACTGTTTGGTCAGCCTAACTTATTCAACAAGCTCCTAAGTTTAGGGATGGCGGTCACCCACCCCGCGGGGGGCTAATGGGGAGGGGGTTGGGGCGGGGGGTGGGGCGTGGAAGGGGGGAATTTCCCCCCCCCCCCCGCTTAGAAACGGGGCGGGGGGCGGGGGAGTGTATCCCCGCCCCGCCACCCGCTTTAAAAAAATAAATATATAAAATAAATATGTATATAATTATATATATAATATATAATTTAATTAGTTACAAACTTATGATAATGATATTATTAGTTATATGTATTATATAATGTCTATTAGTATATATAATATAATTGATATTATTAATTATACTAATAATTATATATGTGTACTAATACAAATTATTAATTGGCTATACTAAATTTACTAATACATTTATACTAAATCCCTAATTACACTTAATACAATACATTTTTTTCTTAAAAAAAGCACAAGTACAATAATGAATTAGTGATTGTATTTGTGCCAAAAGTGAAAACTTGACTACTTTAGTTATATTTATTTCATCATGTTGGATTGTATTCAAATAATTTTTATTTGATTGTTTTTATAAGTTTCAATTGTAAAATTACAATGAATAATAATTTAATAATGTGTTGATATTTTAGTACTTGATTATTTGCTAAAATTTAACCATAATAAAATTATATAACAATTTTTTATTAGTCCCGTGGGGACACCCGCAAGGGAAGCAGGGCGGGACGAGGATGGGGCGGGAGAAGCGGGGAACGGGGGATGGGGAGTTTGTAGGCCGCGGGGCGGGGGATGGGGGAGGGGTTCCCCACCCCAACCCCGCTCCATTGCCATCCCTACCTAAGTTCTTGGCTCCTTCGCTCCTTTCTTTTCAACGGAGAAATGTCAATTTTGTGGTACAATTCTAGAACCCTGCCCTAAATGCTGGCCCCTCTAATTCATAAACGGAGTTTGAGAAATTGGAACTTCACTGTCCTAGTCAATTTGAGGACCGAAGGGATGTGAAACCAGAACGAAAGAGCATTAGTCAAAAAAAGAAGGAAGGAAGAACGAAAGACAAAAAAAATAGAAAGAAAAGCATAGTCAAATAGATGCAGACGGTACTGTATAAACTACCATCGAACATGGGCCTCTGATATTAACATAACCCAATAGACAAAATATACCCATCAGGTATTAACCCCTAGAGAGCATGTTAGACGAAGTGTGTGTGTGTGTGTGTTTTATTGTTGTTAAATTAGTCGAATACTAAGAGGACTAAAACAAGGAGCAGAGTCAGTAGTAATTAATGTGTTTCTCCAAGGAGCTGCCCCCCACAGGCGCTCGGGCGGACTTCGCGTTCTTAGTTAAGGCGCCGGTCCTGGTTTCGATTCCGCGCTTGGGCTGCCTAGGGTAATTTCCTGAGGATCGGTGGGGCCTGCTCTCCTCAGGGTTGGTAGGATTAGTCGGGGTGAGACCCGAACACCTTCCAATTGAAAAAAAAAAAAACTCCAAGTCAATGTCGTCCGGCGATGCTGCAACGGGGGCCTCCCTCCAAATTTAGAGAAAGATGAGTCAAGGGTTAATTTCAGAAACCTCTCCTGAGGTTTTCTCCGATCACACCTAGAACCTTCCAACTTTCAGAAATCACACCTACCACCCTTAGAATGACAACTTTCATCACATTGTCAACCCTTTTGTGTGAGAATAGTATTTAAAAATTATTTATAGGAGAGAGACTATTTTTTGTTTCACTTTTACCCTGCTAGGAAGATGACTTTTGAATTTACAAGATGAAAATAAAAACAAAGCTATTTTGTGATATTATTTTTGAAGCTAAATGGGTGTAAGTGCAATAAGCACAAGAAATTTCTTAACTATGCTACTGTAGAGGACCGTTGGGTGCTTAAGCTGTATAAAATAACTTGGAGACAAGATACCAATATCATTCACCATCAATTTTCTTTGGGCAAATTGCAACAACTGATGCATCAATCGAATATTAATTGTTCTCTACATTTTTTATTCATATTACAAAATCAATTTGATGAAATCCGAGTACAACATGACTAGACTCTTGACTGCATAGCTCCAAATATACAGTCAAGTATTTCTCATGCCTAGACTAAGTACCAATGCTACTCAATATTAGTAAGGATGAACATGATTAGACCCCAATCCTTTAGCTATTTTTGTAGTTTTATAAATATTCGTTTGATTACCATCATCTATGGACTACAAAACATCATTGCATCTAAATTTTGTTAACATGCATACTATATATTAGCTAAGATCTTCACCATTTTCCTTAATATCAACAAACAAAAACTGTAGAAATTAAAAAGCTCATACTTTTTTTCTTTTTATGTATAAGTGGAAGGCGAAACTGATTTTTATCTACTTTAGTGGAGTTGAAGCTGAAAATCCACAACCTCAAGAGCACCCCAGCCTCTTTGGCATTCAATTGCATTTGTTAATTGTCTTTCATCATATGACTGATTTTTGTCTAACTATCACCACCTCTTCATCGGCAACTATATGCTCAGGTGGGATTAGCTAAGAAAGCCCACCATCAGGCTTATATACACCAAAAATGGCACTCAAATTGTGTGCCAAAAATGATAGCAATCTTGTTCTTTCAATTTTCAATTAATATACCCTCAAAAAAAATTATTTTTGCAGCATTTTCCTGTGCAAGAATTACTTAATAACAGGGGATAGCATCGTAATTTCTCCTCTACTGATTGGGACAGCATGTCACCTCATTTTGCCAAGAGTGGTAAGTGTAATTTCTCAAAGTTAAGGGGTGCCAGATGTGATTAGGGAAAACCTCAAGGAGGTTTCTGAAATTGACCCATGAATCAAACATTGCTTGTTTGACGGTGCCCCGAAATTTCTCAGAAATTACTCTCTATTATTTCTACACTACCATCTCAATAAAACGAGACGAAGAACAAAATGGCATAAAGGGTCCTTCAAATATTGCATTTGTTTTTCATTTTGTGAATGATGCACTTCGATATCTTTTGTGCTAATAATAGGATATATTTACGTGCAAAAATGGTGTACAGAATTGGGCATAAATGCAAGATTTTAAAAGCAACAGATCAAAAGAATTGTGCATACATCTTACCAATATATACAGAGAGAGGGAGGGAAAGTGGAGATGTGCTACATAAATAAATTCCGACACATTAAAAAGAGATGAAAAATGAGAAATAGTGGGTGGAAAATTAGAGTGGCATATGATCAAAGATGATGGTGATTGACGAGAATGGACGATGGTGGTCATGAATACAGGAAACATGCGGGCATGATCGGCCAATCAAAAGTCTCGCTTGGTATTGATTACATACATTTACAATTATTAATTTCTTTTGGAGAGCGGAGAGGCATCTCCATGTCTATGTTGTATGTACTATGTAGCTTACTTCTCTAACTAACTGGTGGAGGCTGGAGTACTTATATTTATTGCGTATTCAAGTAGGAGTACTAAAGGGTGGAGTTTGAAGTGGACTGTAGTCAAGTAGTGAAAGCAGTGATAGCAACAATTGTACATGACATCAGGATACTTAGGTTAAAATTTGATGAATGTTGTTTTACCTTAACAAACAAATTAATAATTTGGTGAACAACTTTGTTAGCCATAAACTAGCTAAAGTAGCTATTACTTTGGAACACAAATACTGAATGGAAGGAAAACTTCCCAGTTTGGCTGCTGGAACAAGTCCAGGCAGATTGTAAGGGCGGTTGCCCACCTATACTGTAATTGGTTTTACTCTTAATACAATAATGTTGCCGTTCTGATTAAAAAAAAAAAAAAGTAGGTTAATTTAGATTATAGAAATTCAATCGTGTCGATAAAAAAGAAAAAGAAAAAAAGTAGGAGTACTACTTTTACATAGATTATTATTTATTATTACTAAGTCAGCCTTTGCTTTTTGATGATTGGCGGTGGACCTCTTTTGTGGGGGTTTTCTTGGGGTGTGGGGTTTGTGTGGGTGTCTACGCATGTGTTGTTAGTGCACATACGAATTCGTGTTTTTACCATTTCCCGCGTCTAACTTGGGAGTACCATATTATTATTTTTCACTTATACGGTTTTACCAGTTCCAATAATGGTATTC